GCATTTATGATATGTACTGAAAACATGAATATACATTCTGATATTTCAATTGAATGAAATCAAAAATATCCATAATTTGTTCATATATATTTGTATAACTGTTTATTTACTGATCCACGCATATTAATTATGTATGTTTTGGTCTATATATAATATTCTAACACTCACGTGATTGTGTCACTATAGACAAAGAAGGAAAAAAACTGGTGTTAAACTGCCAATAAACACCGGTTAGGGACTACTTGTATATTCGCTGTTATATTTTCACCCTCGATTGTATAGTTTGCAAAGCATTTTAAAGCAACAATAAAAAGCATTTTTATTTATATTTTCAGTTCGTATAATGTGTTCTTTTCATACAATACCGAAATAATATCTCACATACACTTACGCCACATATTAGATCCATATCAGTTAATAAATATTTTGGCAAAACGGCGCCAATTCGTAAGCAGCGTAATGACGTCATCCTAAATAAACAACTCATTCATAAACAAGCTGACGTTATTTCATACATACAAGAATGATAAATGGGGCACTGATGTAAACACAATACGACGTATGTTTTTATTGTTGAAAACTTGATAAAATAACGTTTTTTTTTTCTTATTATTTCTTTTGTTTGATAATTTCTATATCTTCGCAACAGTAGGGTGCGAAAATCGAACAGCGTTATACGAAAATCGGCACCGGAAGTTATTTCCGCTTGAAAAATAACTTTAGTGATTTTCCTTATTTAATCGTGTTAGAATCGAAATAACATCGGCCTGAGAGGTGTATATCGGCTATTTAACACCGGTTTTGTCGTTTTGATGCAACAAAATTAACCACTCAGGCCTACGGCCTTCGTGGTCTATTCCTACGCATCAAAACTCCAAACCGGTGTTAAATAGCCGATATACACCTCTCAGACCGATGTTATTTCTTAAATATAATATCACAATCGGCAAATTTACGATTTAACGCTTTATAAGGTGTCACATCAGATAGGGATACGTATTTGGACCTCCATAGAGAATTCAACAATTTAAATAAGTATTTATATATACGACTACAAACATAAGATATGGAATTAAAATGTTTATTTTGACAAGTGTACTCTATGTAGATATGGCATATTTGAATTGAATGTCCGCATCAAACTTCAGGAGAGAGAAGGTATTCACTCATTCAATAGCAAGGAAAGAGACTAAAATAATAATATCAAAAACAACAAACTATTTTGTATTGCATCATAATTGGCGGTAATTTGAACCATTAATTCTGAACTTTCAATCTGAATTTAGCAGTATTTTTTACCCTGTACCTATTCTACATTGTTTGTTTTCATATTCTCTAACTTCAACTTAGTCGACAATTTTAAATGTTACAGGAATTAAACGCATCGATATCTGAATTTTCATACAGATTAATCATTTTAACTTTATCATTTAATCATATTTACATGTGTGTGATCATGATACACTTCCTTTACTACTCATTTTCATATCTGGATTGCTTTAGTTTTAGCAAAATATCGATCTTGTAAAGATATTTCAACTATTTTCCTTGTTGTAGATAATGAAATTAAAAATGGAAAAACTTGTTAATTTTAAATTTGTGCCAGGAAAAGTGGCCGCCATTTCGGGGGATGAGATGGAGGAACAGTCACATAAAACCGTCCATTTGCTTTGCTCACCCTGTAAACGTAAGGAAATGAATAAAAAAGCGGACACATATTGCACAGATTGTCAAGATTATTACTGTTCGGCTTGTGTAAAATTTAATGAGGATATTCCAGCCCTCTCTGGACATAAAATTCTAGATAAAGGTAACCAACCGGAACATTTGTAACACCAACACAAAGGTGCGAGAGACACGGGTTTAAACCTGTTGACATGTATTGTCAAGGTCACGATACCGTGAGTTGTTCTACATGGCAATAGATCACAGGTAAGACACATTCTTATGCATGTCATGCAGTGCGTTAGCCGAAATTAAATGATAAATTTAATGAAGTAAATGTAACTTAAACTCAATATAGTGATACTTGTTTAGTTTACTTAATTTGCCTTTGATCCATTCCAATATAATGTACCTACAAATAGTTGCACTTCTGGTGAGATATCTCCTAGAGATATGATTGAATATGTGTAAGCATTGTTTTCAAAAACCTAAAAACAAACCTTATTTAACTTAAGTCCGTCAGTTAAGGAATTTAACTCAGCTTGACATAAAATTATCATTCTGTCTGAACATGATTTTGAAGGTTATATCATGACTTAATATAAAATACGCCTATGTCAAAACTGTTAACTCCTTCAAGCTGTACTTTGGAACCGTTTCGAGTTTCACAATAAACTCATGTGAAATTATAATAAATTTAAAAATGTTTATTGAAATAAAAGCTAGACAAGTTTTACGTGTAAATGCATGTTTATTGTCGTGCAATTAGTATCGTAATATTTTAAATGGTTCTGCGATATACGGATTCAAGCTCAAATAGTTCTATGTTAGATGAACATACGTGTAAGATACATATAAGACATATCTGTTGAAAGCTTAAAGGAAACATATATAATTTACACAATGAGATAGCTAGCTATATCAAATGAAATGAAGAAAGACATTTCTGAGTTAATTGTTTATCAACTTTATACATTTTACAAAATGCACTAAGAAAGTACACTTATTCTTTCTTGCTTGATGTGCAGACACGATTCTTTGTCGAATAGCTCATAAAAATGTTCTTTAAAATCACATTTTACGTACACATATAATTCAACAAGTTTCATCATTCCTATCTAGATAGAATGAAATGCAAATGTCTAATGTAAAAGAAATGCATTGCCCTCGCATTATATACAATATGATAAACAAGATCAACAAGGAAAGGTGGCGTTCAGTGAACGCAACCCCCACCCGAACCAGGAACAAGGGCCAGTGGCAAAGAGCCCAGAAGGACCCCAAAGAAAAACAGGACAGGGCACAAGGCAGAGCACGGGCAGGAATCAATTTTACTGGTTATAATAATTCCTAGTGCAATATGATAACATGTTTGATAAGGACGTCAGAAAAATATTATTTTTACCTCGATATTTGTTTCGTTGTAAATTTATTTTTGTATCTCTGTAAAGTTTTTCATGCTAATGAATCTCACACATTTATACTTGATTCACAATCAGGGTCAGTTTGTTCATATTATGCGCCTGGGCCCGAAGCAAATGTTCTAACTTAATCAACGAGCGTGATCTCTTTATATAGTAAAAATGGTCAGTTCATTCTGTAGTTATAGAGTGGAAACAGTTATATCGGTAAATGTGATTGTGACCTAGACCTTTCATGGTTCACACATCAGCGAGCAAAAGCAAATGTGGTCTTCAGTCAAATAAGGGTTATTATCATATGAAAAATGAAGGATTTGTGTGAAATAGTCTCTTATAATTGAGCGAAAAATATTTAATGTCACCGTGACCTTTATCTCCAGTCATCAGCGCCTTAAACATTATGGGTCTTTTACATACTGATGGTCAAATTCTGTATATAACACGTTGTCTCTATAGGGTCAACACTGTGCATTAGACAAAAAAAACATCAATGTAAGGGTTCTTGCATATCATTGTCATAAATCATCTGTATGTTTCAATCTACCCATCTATTACCTTAAGAAACTAAAAAACATAAGGAACCTAATATAATATATTTAATACTAATAATTATAAATATGGCTGTAACAACCTGTCTTATATACATTTATCTTCATCTGTTCGTATGTGTCGGCTATCTGACAAAAATGCAATAATACATGTAATTATGTAGTTCTGTTCCTAGTTCCTGCACAAAGGGGAATAACTCAAACACATTGAAAATACAATTGGCTGTAGAGTTACTTACAAATCTGATCGTTTAGCTGTTATGATTATAAGCATGTTTATACTTATTAATAAACAACAAAATAAATAGCATGCTAAAAGATTTTTCATAAGATAACAGGTTAATTGATGCTTCATATCAGTTTTGATTTTTATTTACTGGCATTTTTAGCCTTCACTTACGGACACAATAAACGGATATGTTTGTATATTTTATGAACAAAAAATGACTTTTAAATGCTATTAGATTTTGCTGACGAGGTTTGTTAAATATATTAATAAATATATTAGCGACAAGTGTCAAGTTTTTTTCAATAATCTAATAGTGAATTATCCAATTATTCTTCTATTTCATGTAATTTCATGTAGGAATTTTACTGTTTAGTATATTTTGTTTTGTGTATTCATCGTTAGCCCGTTAAGGAGATATTTCAACACATAACGATTGTATTTAATAATTTATTTTACTTCATTCTTGAACAATGAAGCATGACCAACTGTTAAAATATATCTATTATCATGATTAAACAATACAGGAGAAGTTGAGACATCTGTGCTTCCTAACCAAACTGCTCGATCACAGTGGGTACAAAAACAGTTAGATTTTGTAGATAAAAATTACCTTGACGGAATCAACTTTGATTACGAGCGTGCAATATTATATAATCAGACTCAACTTCGCAATGGATACACAGGTCTTGTAATGGAAACAAGACAAGCTTTTCGAGAAAAGTTCCTATCATCTATGGTAAAGTATCTTTCTTTTCTTAATCAAGTATAGCACTCAACATTATTCTGTTTGCTTTGAAACAATTAAAATGTAAATAACATTTTATATAATATCCGAAACTCATTCCATTTTATTATACATAAGGAGCTTCTGTGACTGAGTGGTTAAGGTTAATTATTAATACTAGAAACTTTTCAAAATAACTTTGTTATTTTAATAGCCCAATTACATCTCCCAAAATCACCTTGAGTTTGTAACATTGGGTAACATTACCGTGGATATTTAGACTGATACATAAACAATAGCTGTCTGCAATATTTAATTACCAAGACATATAAGATATTTATAGTAATAATCTGCATGAGTCTCCTGATCCCCCTCGTGCCATGTCGTTTTTTAGTGTATCTTTAAACAACCCTTTGACAGAAATTACCATGATTAGCTAACAGTCGTATGAGGCATAACATACTCGTAATTACAGCAAAAAGAACATCATACCATCTTAATCATTTTTTTAAGGAAAAATAGCAAATATCATTTTATATTGCTTTTGTTTACTAGAATTGATTTCTACTCTTAAAAGACAACATGCTGTTGCTTTAGGTGCTTGCCAAGGTATAGTTGGTGTAAAAAGAGACACCAAAATATTATCATATAATTATTTATTATAGACACTGATATCCCATGAAGGCGAATATTGACTAGCCGAGAGTACTAGGCAAGATCTTTTTTTATTAATTTTAAGGTCAAAAATGTATCCGCATTTACTAATATGATACCATTTTATAAAAGTGATGTTGGAATAGTGCTTCTAATTTTTAATGACATTGAAAGCCTTGTTTAACTTGTTTTCTTGTCTCTTTCTTGACTTTAAGATTAGTGTTGATGTGGCGTGGTCTCCTGCCGGAATAGATTCACGTTTCTATGACTATGTTAAACTATCAAAAGCTTCTGACTATTTCTTTGTTATGGCATACGACGAGCAAAGCCAAATACTTGGTGAATGTATTGCTTATGCCAATAGCGGGTTGGAAAGAACAATGTCAGGTATGAATTGTTTGTGAAAGTCTAACGTCAACTTTATATTCATATTTAAAAGAATGAAACAACTACATTTTAAATGTTGATGATCATTCATGTCAACCTGTTAAAGAAAGAAAATTTCTCACAAATGGTAGTTTTGAGATTTCTGTCCAGTAACTAATGAATAGACCTTTGAAAAACGATCTCCCCATAAAATAAATATATCGTACGTAACCGAAAGGATCAGGATAGTACAGCTAATCTATACAGTCAGAGGCACTTACTACTCAAAATTTTTCTGTATAAATAGATTATTTGTGAACGGATTTTGTTCAAATTTGGACCATACAAAATTCAACATATCATACTTAGCACTTAGAATTATATTTACAATTCATTGATAGGAAAATAAAAAATATTACAAAAACAGATAGGCAACTGTAAAATGAAAATTAACAGAATGACTGTTAAAATCGTAACCAAATGAACAGTCTCTGAATCCCATTAAATCTGTTTGTTAACCATTTCTAATACTTTGTATGTCTCTCTAATTAGTTATAACAACGTTAACACCTTTGCCTTACAGTTCTCTATCCCTAAACAAAGGTTTGCTCGAGTTCCAGCAAATTGCGACGGGCCTCTGATCGCTTTCTCACACGCCTGTTCGTTTCAGCCGACAAGTGTGATGCTTACATCTGGTGACTTAAATTGGGATGTAGGAGTTGCTGGAACTAGAAGAAGCCCTTATTAAGGAGTAGAGAAAAATTCCCCATGCCTTCATGAAAAACTACGACATAACCATGAGACAGGTGTTCACCACCATTGGAGGACACACAAAGTATTAGAACTGGTTAACATACAAAGTTAGTGGAATTCAGACACTATTCATTTCGTTACGATATTTACAGCCATTCTGTGATTTTTTATTTTGCAGTAGCATATTTGTTTTGATATTTTCTCTATTTTCTTGTCAATGAATTTTAAATAAAACTCTACGGAATAAGTATGATATGTTGAATTTCGTATGTTAAAACGTTAAACAAAATCCGTTCACAAATTACCAACTTATATCGAAAACTGTTAGTGTTGGGTTATAAGTGCCTCTGAGTGTATGCATCAACAACTGTGCAGTAGACAATATATAAGAATTGCCAAATGGATGAAATTGTACGCTGACATATAGTGTTATAGTAAACATTATGTTATTATTCTGATGAAGTAATATATATGTTTATTATATTTCTGATAAAAGGCGTTATGGAATACTTAGAAATTGGAATATCGTCTGACAAGCTCATTCTTGGAGTGCCTTGGTACGGCTACTATTACCCATGCTTGACACAACATTCTGGTCGACAAAAGATCCTTTGTCATATCAAATGTGTTTGTTCATGTTGACCTCCACATTATTTGATGACGACACTTTTATATTATATAATTATTCTTTCATCTTAATTCAAAAAGAAAGAGAAATCTTGAAAAGGCGAGATCCCTCGAAAGAAATAAAAATATACATGTAGTTTAAAATTACAGTTTTTATTGAATTTGTTCCTGAGTGCAATATCTATCAAGCCTCAAAGCGCTAGATAAAGCAAACTTAGAAACATTTATCTTCAATTCATCGATACAGATTCCTCAAACTTTATGTTATAAGCATGTGTAATGATATTTCAGGATGACAAATGCTATTTAAAGAAGGTTCCATTTCGTGGTGTTAATTGCAGTGATGCAGCGGGACGTCAACTGAATTACTACACTATAATACAGCTACTAAAAAACTCTACAAGTGGACGTGTATTTGAAAAATCTACAATGACACCTTACTTTAATTACAAGGTACACTTCCATAACGTTAAAACATTTTATGCGACTGTTAAAATAACGAAAATGCAATGACATCATTTGTATCTGATATAACTTATTTCTTTTATTTGACAAATGACAACGACTCCTGTATTTTGCAAATGCGATGCATTTTATATAGATACAATATTGATTCGGGAAACTGTTGATCAAAATCCAATAATAATTATGTTTACATTTTGCTACCTTATGAAGAATAAATTCACATTCATCACTACTCTATCCAGGTGATGTGCATCTAACATGCTCTTAAACCATTAACTTATCGTTTTAAAGCTAACATTTAGTTCATTGTAGGACATATTTATTCCTTTCTGACGCATAGAGTGCCTTCAATTAGTGCATTATTTTCAATACGTTACATTATATGGTGATCAATGATTTTGCTTGCAACTCATTTAGTGTATCTAATTTACCTGCATTTTAGAATATTTCGTCAGGCATTATGCATCAGATACGTTATGACGATCCACAAAGTTTAGGATATAAATATACGTTTGCAATAGATGAAAACTTACGAGGTGTAGGGATATGGAACACGGAGTGTGTGAATTACACAAGCGGAAAACATGACGACATCATTGCTGTAAAAGAAATGTGGGACGCCCTACCAGAATACGAAAAATAACACCAGCAGACAATTATTATGTGTACTGAAATAATCATCAATGAACTTAAAACAACATTTTGACATTGTTATTGACTGAATTAAAAAATATTGATAATTTGTTAATAGATGTTCGTAAAACTGTTTATCAATTGATCAACCGATATTTATTATGATGTTTGGTCTATATATCACCATCGGTAAACGTACGGTTTGACGCCTTACAAGGTTGTAAAAACATGAAAGAATAATAATTTATTCTGTTAAACTACTTTACTTTTAAAAGAAGTTACATAGCACTGAAATAAAAAGGTATTTTGATTTCCATAAATAGTACATCAATTTACATATGTATGAGTACAAAAACATAGAAATAAGATGTTTATTTCGGAAGCAATTGTACTCTTTAATGAAAACTACTGACATTGTAGATATACCATCTTTGAATTGAGTGTGTACCTACCAAACTTAATTAGAGAGAGGGTATTCACTCCTTCAAAAGCAAGAATAAAGAAAAGTCATATCAAAAACACCAATAAATTTAGAGTTGACAACATTCATTATGATCGGCGACAATTTTAACCATTGTAGATTTTGTACTTTTAATATGTTAATTAACTTTTATTCTCTTATTGTACCGTATACACATTCTATTTTATTTGTTTACATATTCTCTAACTTAAACTCAATCAATCGACACGATTTTATGAGATTTTAAGAAAATACAATTCTTACCGCATGCAGTCTCAGAAATTTAACAAGTTATTAATTGTTATAAAACGCATCGATATCTGAATTTTCATACAAATATCTATTCGATTTAAGCATATTTAAACGTGTTAGATAACCTCCCTTTACTACATTTTTCCATATCTGGATTGGTTTATGTTTAGCATTATACCTATCGTGTAAAGATATTTCAACTATCTTTGCTGTAATAGATAATGAAACCGAAAATGGACTATTTTATTGAAATGTAAATCTGTGTCAAGGAAAATGGCCGCCATTTCGGGGAGTGAGATGGAAAATCTGTCGGATGAAACTTTTCAGTTGTTATGTTCACTCTGTAAACGTAAGGGGAGGACTAAAGAAGCGGACAAATACTGCACGGACTGTCATGATTATTACTGCTCGGAGTGTGTGAAATTCCACGAGGATATTCCAGCTCTTTCCGGACATAATATCCTAGATAAAAGTCAACAAGAAACAAGGGTAGGTTTACCTGTAGCACCAACGGAAAAATGCGAGAGACATAGGTTTAAACCTGTTGACATGTATTGTCAAAATCATGATGACGTTGGTTGTTCAACATGTATGGCAGTAGATCACAGGTATAGATATATTATATATACTTTAACTTGAAATCAGATATAATTTATAGTATTAGCATACCCTTATTTAACTGACTGAATAAACAGTCCTTTATTTTTGTTTGCTCAGACGTAAAGATGTACCAAGTAAGCGACGCTTTATTTAACTCCATCAAGATTCATGACTGTATATAAAAGGGTGTAATAAAATAGCCATGTAAAGTTATTTACAGTCAAGTCAATTGCACCTAAAGATCATAACAAAAACGTGAAACGTAACAGGATATGCTTTAGTTTTCTGTTTCAATAATACATGTTTTGTGAAAAGAAATTAAAATGATTGCAAAAAATACGAACAAATCATTATACCAATTTTTTATTTTATGCATTTTTCCAAGAATGAAAATATTTTATTGTTATTACCATAGGCGTTCAGTTTTGCAAACCGGCACGTCTCGGATTGATTAAATAAATATGTACTTGATTTTATGTATAATACAGTGGTTGTATAAATAATGCAATTAATCGAGTAAAAACATTTCGCGTCCAATACAAACAAGACCGGCTCTTTAAAACCTCAAATGACTTTTATATGATGTTGGTTTTGTTTTCTTTCTTGTTTGAAATTGTTTCTGGTTCTGTGAAATTTAACTTAATTTAAAGTTTAGTTGAATTTTATACACAGTAACATTTTATGATAGAAATAGAGTAAAATGTCATATGATGGATGTTACGGAATACAACAAATGTGTACACATTTGAATGTACAATGAGATAGTGCGTTGATGTTAGTGTTCATGCACAATTATACTACATTTAAATCTAAGATGTATGACCAACTGGCAGCACTTGAAAAAAGCGCCAACATTTAAAAACTTGGCAAAAGATGGCGTCGTTAAAAACATAGTGTTTAATTAATGTAAAATATTTTTATCACCTTAACATTGGGGGATATATTTTCATAAACACCATTTTTTACTTTCCATACATAGGTCATGCAACGATATCTTCGATGTTCCAGGGTTTGTTCAAATAAACCAATCACAAACAAAGAAAACACTTGAAGATCTAAACGTAGAAAACGCCAATTTGAAGAAAATGCTAGAAACTCGTATACATGAGAGGGAGCGTTTGATGAAAGACAAACAAGAAGCATTGCTGAAATTGAAAGATTTCAGAAGGGAAATTGAGCTGAAACTGGATAAACATGAGCAAACAAGTATCGAACAAATTGAGAGCAAATGTAATGTCATTGCTGAGAAAATAAATGCAGAAATAAAGGTCTTAGAAACTGTACAGAAAGATGTTGAACATGCTGAGGATAGAATGGTATCATGTGATGCTGATAATAATATATCCCAAGCTTTCGTCTCTTCTAAAATCGGTAAACGAGCTATTGGTGCTGCCATAAAATGTCGAGAAGAAAAAGCAACTGTAAAGCATGTTATAGATTTCGAGTTCAAGAGAAATGAAAATATAATGATCTGCCTGAATGAAACGGGAAATCTTGGTAATCTATGTCAATCCAATGAAATCTACAAAGTAAAGAAGAAGAGAACATTTAATGTTAGACATCAATCTGACACACAAACATGTTATATATACAGTGCATGTGAACTTGGTGATGGGTCTATAATTCTTGCTGATAACAACAATAAGAAATTGAAACGTATTGACAGCAAATTCACTAACACAGATGTTTGTGAATTACCAGTGTCGCCATATCAGATTTGTACTATTAATACACATGATGTAGCTGCCATATGTGCAAATGGACAAACTGTATATTTTGTTTCTTTTGCCAAAGAACCAAGACGAACTAAAGAAATAAACATTGCCTTTGGAAGTTATGGTATTGCATACGCGTTGTCAAATTTATACATTGCTGATTCTAAAACGACTGTTTTCGTTTACGACAGGAATGGTACGAAGCTTAAACAATTCACAAACAATCAGACAGGGCAGCCGTTGTTTGATAATATCTACAACATGACTGTGAATACTGATGGTAGCAGGATCTATGTTGCTGATACCACATTTGGAATTGTTGCTCTTAAAGAGGATGGTACACTACAAGGAAAGTATAACTGTGATGAACTTGGTTCTGTAAGACGCGTTTGTGTGGCTGATAATGGGAATATTCTTGCATGTGGATATGACAATAATTGCATTTTACAGTTACCTAAGGATGGGGAGAAGCTGGGAAATGTTTTGTCCTTAGATGATACAAAAGTAGGATGCCGTTCTTTATTATATCTTAATAAGAAGAATGAGCTTGTAGTGGGTCGGGATGATGACAATATCGACATCTACGAACTCAATTGAAAAAAAATAGGTACGAGTCATAGGTTGTACAACAAGTAACATATTTTGTATTGTAAAAACTATATATTCTATGTAGACTGTAACATTTATATGCTGTGTAAATTACATTTTGTAAGAAAAATACTTGGTCCATATTTTCATTGATTTTGTAGCACAAAATATTGTATCAATAAATAATAATTTGTTTAAAGAAAATAGAAACATTTTGCATTTAGTTTAAACAATTATACTTATTTATTTCAAATTGTACAACATAAATATATACAATAAGCATACTACATGTATATCCATGTCGTTCTAAATAAAGTTGCAAAAAGTATATTTCAGCTATATATCTACAACATTTTGTGCAAGTAGAGATTGCGAATATTACACATCATTTTTCGTTGTTTTTCATAAATAAAAGCAAGATCAATACACTCTTAGAATTAGTACTGCAGATATTTGAACACATAAAATGCATCGGGTAAAATATACATGGACTAAATTTTAATGTACAGGTGTACATGTATAATACAAATGAAGAAACTTTAAGATTGATATACGCCTGTACTCTTATGGTTTAAACTTTTATGTATGTTTAAAAAAGAATATATAAGAATTTAAAAAAAGAATAGTGCAGAATAGTAGATATGGTAGTTGAAACGGCATATATTCTGTCAACCTAAATGTTGGAAGGAGTTGGTTTTGTCTCCTTATTGAGCGTAAATGGACTGAACTGAATTTTGTTTATTGTTATTATTCAACCTTCCAATTGTAGTCTGAAAATTTAATCATACCATTCAAATTGAAATCTTAATCTATAAGATATAAGTAGTGCCAGAGTGATCTACTGTCACAATGAAATAACTAGCATTTACATAATACAAACATAGCATAAAATACACGCTAATGTTAGCGCCACAGTTTAAACGTGTAATTGAAACGAAAATGCTGTATACAATTCTTTGTTTGAATATGTATTAAAAAATACATTGTGCTACATTCGTGTAATATAATAATTTTATTCAACTCGTTTATCTAGCTCATAACTTCTGCATATACATGTAACAATGTAATCGATTCGTGTGCAAACCAATATGATCAAAATCAAAATAATCCATTCAGAACCTTTGAATAAGTAATTGAATATAATCATACTGTTTTGCACACGAATCGAACTTTATAATGTAGAAAATTAATCACTAACCAGATAGTTGAAAATGAGATAAGAGTTCGATACGATACCCGGCATGAGGAAAGTTCACCTCTGACACAAAACCTTTGACCAGCATATGAACTTGCATAAAAAAATGCAGCATTTGTTAAAAACTTATTTATTTATTTAATTAAGGATACTTATGTTGTACAAAAATGTGAACGAGGAATTGTCGATATTGTGTTTATTTCTGACGTAAGTGTTCTTAAAGACGTAAATAGCTTACGATATAACCCTACTCTTTTAAGACATTAATGCAAAAATCAATAATGAGTGTAGGGGCGTCCAAGGCCGAGTGGTTAAGGTCGTTGACTTCAAACTACTTGCCACTCAGCGCTGTGGTTTCGAATCCCGACAGGGCCTCTGAATTATTTCATGTGAGGAAGCTATCCAGCTAGCTTACGGAACCTCGGTGGTTCTACTCAGGTGCCTGTTCGTGCCTGAAATATTGCACGGAAGGGCACATGAGGTCTTCCTCCACAAGTAAAGCTGGAACGTCGCCATATGACCTATACTGTGTCGGTGTCACGTAAAACCCAATTAAATTCAAACAATGAGTGTAAACCACGCCTAACCACGCTAGAAATCTTAGATAGGCTTGTCCATTTTTCCGATCTGGTATAAACAATTTTATTTTTAGATAACTTTTAATATGCATAGAACAAATAGCGAACAGAGCAGTGCAGACAATGATCACAGACGTGCCGGCTGATCATTGTCTGCACTAGTCGCATGGATATAATCAGTAATCGATTGAGTTCTGAGAGATACGCTTTGATAAACTCTGTTATAAGTGTTTTTATCAACATGCAGCCTCATTAAGCACTTGAGAGTGTTGATTACAATTCTTCTCCACAGAATCAACATGCATCAACTGTCGTTTGATTTATATAAAGGTTGAAAGAAATATATTTACACATTTAAACATGCATATATAGGTTGAATTTATAAAATAATAACCACTTAGTATTCAATTAAACTAACTTCTTAACTTTTTGACGCATACATTTGTAAACATTCTACGTACCTGAAGTGGTTTATAATTAGCGCAGTATCGATCGTGGTAATAACATTTCCTGTTATAGATAACGAAACCGAAAATGGACATATTTCATTAATGTAAATTTGTGTAAAGGACAATGGCCGCCATTTTGGGGAGTGAGATAGAGAAACGGTCAGATAAAACACTTCATTTCTTATGTTCACCCTGTAAACGTAAGGAAATAAATAAAGAAGCGGACAAATATTGTGCTGACTGCCATGATTATTATTGTTCGGATTGTCTAAACGTTCACGATGAATTTCCAGCCTTGTCTGGACATAAGATTCTAGATAAAGGTCAAGTCAAAGATGAAAAGAGCGGAACATTGCCTGTAACACCAACACAAAGATGCGAGAGACACGGGTTTAAACCTGTTGACATGTATTGTCAAAGTCACGATAACGTTGGTTGTGCTACATGTATGGCAGTAGATCACAGGTAAGATCTAATTTAATTTATGTCATGTTCTACGTTAGCCAATATTTAATGATAAATATATCATAATGAGGTAAATGTCAATTAAATTTAGTGATTTGGTTTAATTTACTTCATTTGCCTGTTCCTTATTCCCAATTTAACTTACCCGCAAACAGTTGCATTTCTGGTGGGATACCTCGAGATACGATCAAATATGTGTTCACGTGAATTTCTAAAACCTAAAAATAAACCTTGTTTAACTTGAGTCCGTCACATATGAAATTTTACGAAGCTTGATATACAAATAAGCATTATGTCTGTACGTGATTTTGCAAGGTTATGTTATAATTAATGAAATAATTATTCATTTTTCTTCATGTCCTAATGTTTATATCCATTGAACAAACACAAGGTTAGCTTTTAAAAAAGCTAGTAGCGACTCGCTTCATAATTTTTTCCAGGGGTGTGTTTAAATGTAAAAATGACAGTTCTGTTAGCTGAAGATACTTTGAACAGCGAATATCAAAATAAAAGTGACATAAAAAGTTATGGAAGCCAGTTCTCTCAGTTTAACAAAGAGGAATATGAGTATATATGAAGATGCATGTAAACAGATAGAAAGAAGTCCCTATGTCTTTGTACATTTACTGTATGGCCTGTTGACCTTGACCAAAAAAAAATGTTAGATAGGTAGAATTCATAAAGATGTCTTTTTATACGACGTTAAGTTGTAATATGTTATTTAGTATTGGAATGAGTGACAGACACAAGTCCTATACAGGAATATATTACTGAAGAACTCTCTTGGGTGTGGGCGAATTTAGATTCATTTGGGCATGATTAACATTTGATTTTTACAAGTTCTTAAGGCATTAGTACATATTCAATATTAAAGGTGGAGGCACTGAAGTTATATCAATAAGACTTAAACATATTTTCCCTAAGCATTTTAATAAAAAGCATGTCCACTTCATCTTGGTATGGGAAACATTTTAAACAAATAGATATGATGTAGATACATGAACAAAATTTCAAAGTGGTCAACAAGGCAATACCACATGCCAAATATTTAAGGTTTAGGCATTAATAAGGTATAAAGGTGTGCGTATGTGTTTCTATTTAAGACGTGTCCTTGACCTATGCGTAGAACAAAATGAACAACTATGAAAGAGGACTCCTGATGGTATTAGATATATAGCGATCACGGGAATTAACCACTGCCATGTCATATTCAGAAAGGCCGGGATCGTATTAACCCATTACGCGATATACACGCCTTTTAACGCCTTTTCACCCCTTCTTTTGTTGTCTCAAATGGTGAATAAATGCCTTATTTAGGCCCCCAACACTTGTTTTTAGTTGAGAAATGTTGTTTTTAAAAAGTGACCACTTTTTCGGCGCGGCCCCAACCAAAAGATGCATCAGGGGGTTGCCAGAAGGGGGATATGCCCCCTTCTGTTTGGGGGGTTTGAAGGGGGCGGCAGTCCCCCTCGTCGCCAAGAAAATTTTGCACTTGTGACAGGCTAAAATGACCCCAGATCAATCATAAGGTAACGTGTAACAAACGCTGAAAGGCATTTGACTCTATCTCAATCCATTAAGAAGTTGCAGCACTTTGAAATCAATTTTGATGGAAAAAATCTTTTTTGTTATCAATTATGTTAAGTATATCTTACGATCTTTTCTAAAAATAATATTTGAATACATGAACATAAAATTGAGCCAAATATTATATTAACAAAAACTTTGATCTTTTTTCAATTAGGCATATAATTACAAGTATTGCGATTTCCGCATTTTAAGTTTGTTAATAAATAGCTCTAAATATATTTAAATATTTAAGTTAAATTAATTTACCATTCATTTCATATAATAAAAGGTAAAAAGTTATCGTTCAATCGCCTTTCTCAACACATATATAGTTTATTCCTTTTCCCTATATATCTAATACTATCCAGGATCCCGGGCGTCCCGGATCCCGGGATTTTTCCCCCACCCTAAATACCGGAAAGGATAAAATGACCGGAAAAAGAAAAAGAAAAAAAATGCACAGAACCAGATGTACACTTATGTTAATTAACCAAACGAAAACTTACTACAGAGAAAACAGGTGAAATCGCTAAATCAAAAGTCAGTGTAAATATGATTTATTGAAAAGAATTCATGAAAACAAACATTTTAATCATCATTATATCTTTGCGCTCAAAGCAATACTTGCTGCTTTTTAAAAATGGCGTGAAAATTGAAGGTTTTTTGACGCTATGTAAGATTTAATTTGATTGGCTAAATAATTTTGGATTCCAGCCCTGACAGATAAATTTTGTAGAAAGCTGGAAGCCAAGCTTCGATTAAATTTTTGGATGGATTCGGAGTTTTAGGTTGTTTCTCAGTAAAATCCTAACGTAATACCGGCTCGCCGTGGCGAGCCGGCATAATTCGTGATCTCTATCAAACGCACGGTTTGGATTTCATTGCTGTTATGTATTGAAGTCTCCTGTGGCGTGACACGCGAAATTAATTTTTCTTTATCTTTCTTAGTTTGTTTTGAAAATGAAAAATGTTTTTCATGTAACAAATGGAAAATAAAATCATCTTTTTCCTTTTTCGTTTGACATAGTTTTCATTCTTTATATAAAATACGCCTTAGTCAAAACTTTCAAACTGTACTTTTGAATCCTACATATCTAAATCGGTTCAGCAATATACGGATTTAAGCTTTTCAGTGATTAGATGAACATGAGAGAAATAGAGGCATATAATTATGTTGAAGCTAGAAACAGTCATGTATAATTTACACATTAAGATAGCTTCTGTATCAAATGTTAATAAAGAAAGCATTTCTGGGTTAATTGTGAAGTTTTGTAAGATATTTAACTTTTGAACATTTCTCCATACATACATTTTTACAATGTGCACAAAGCAATTACATTAAATTCTTCTTTCCTCAATAAGTATGATGTCATATGAAAAATATCCAAATTAACACTTTTTTGGGGCTTAAACCTCTAGATTTTCACACGTTGCTCATATAAATAACGAAGTGATAAAATTATTCATGTTTGATGAATCTATATTTGTTTCATATAAAGATGGTCATACATTACAATATGATTTATCAACATATGAGAATATACGTCGTATTGATAATTCTCGTATGATTTTAAAAAGAAGCAAAATAGTTGATGAACAGACGGAATACTTTTTTTTTCAAATAAAATAAAAATGAGCTTTAACACATTTCTGGGAAGAAAACTTACCAATTTATTGGTGCAAATCTATTTTTACAGTACACATAAAATTCAATAAGTTTCTTCCTTCTTTTTAAATGTTGTTGACGGGTATTAAACCCTTGCAACCAGCAATCCTTCAAAAAGTTAACCACTCAGTCGCTCCATGACTATTAAATTATTTAACATTGTTAATTTGGGTAAAAGTGTTAAATATCTCGAATTAATAGAATTACCTGCCAATGACTAATTTAAATAAATGCATGTTTAAAAATTTTAGGGATGTGCGGTATTACCGGTATACCGGTATACCGCGGTTTCGTTCAGACGCGGTACGTACCGGTACGACCCCTAGGAATACCGGTTTTTTAATATATATAATTTTACATAATATTTTTTATAAGATTCGGACGTTATTTACCCTGTAATCTGTGTTTCAACTTTCAACCTAAATTAAAGTGGAATTCCAAGTCTATTTTTAGAGCAGCAGTAAATGCACAGTATAATACTCTAACGAATAATTAGTCGCGGAAAGGTCGGATCGTTTCCCGGTTGTTTTTCATATTTATTATGTAGTGTAAATACATTTCATCCGCCGACATTTTTATAATTTCTATATATAATATAATATATTATTTTTGTTGTAAGTTTGTATAATGTTATATAATATAAGTAAATATTCAACATGTTTATTCATTTAAATAAATGAATAAAAAATACTTTCAATGCATCGAAATTTAGATGATCACGTAAATGACCATTACGAATAACAAATATTTATGGAAATGTGACATCATTTTATTTTTAAATGAAGGTGTTTAGATAATTTTTACCACGCGATACCATCCGATAGTTATTTGGTTTTGCAAACATATAATTTTGAAGATTATTTTCATTATCAACATCATTATTTTATTATATCAGTGTCACTCTGCCTGTGTATTTGTGTATGAAATCCGTTATAATATAAATTTTGATCACGAAAACCTGAGCTCCTGACAGACTGTTTATTAAGTCCGTGAATGGGATATTACATTTTTTTTGTCCAAATGACAACAATAAATGGTCGGCGAACCATACGCTAAATAACTATGGAAACGCGCTGTATAACCAATAAGCGTCTACGTGACACCTATATCAGACGACATTGAGCACGGCACCTAGGTACCGTCTAATAAACATAATCAACGTACGACGATTGTTTAAAAGAAAACTGTACCGGTCAAAATAATGTCGATAAAAATTCGGCTAAACAATGAGTGAGAGCACGCGCGCCTCATTTAAAAGTTTTCACGAGTTTCATAAATTCCATAAAATTATCTTTATGAAAATTTCATTCATTCTGAAAGGGAACAACGTTGCATTAAAAAAACTAGAAATGTGTCATCATGCCACGGATGCCCCCGCATGCAGCCAAAATTTCAGATGGTGCTTTAATTATTTTTTTCATTTCAAGTTCAAAGCCCTTAAAACTTTTCAATGTTAACACAAACTATTTCCATACAATGTTCAAAGCACTGAAATTATTCAGTCTTAACCTTTTAGAAATAGCATATTGCATATTTGTAGCCAAAATAATGGCTAAAAGAATGAGTGGTGAAACTGAAAGTTCAAAATTTTTCCAACATTCAGGAAAGATAAGTTTGTCTAAAATCATTGAACCATGACCAAATTCCAACTTAAACTGCTTATTCCTAAGATGTATCTATATTATTTTCAAAGTGAAAGAGACATAACTCTGCCAAAAAATCATCAAACCATGACCAAATTCGAACTTGACCTGCCCATTCCTTT